AAAAAAAAAGGAATTATATACGTATTTTCGTGTTCGACAAATTCTCACTTTTTCACTCCCGTATAAACAAGCGACGGTTTTCTGACGCGTGTCTGATTTTTGCAAAACACAGTCGAACATTTCGCTACTGTATTACGAGAAAAAAGAAACACACACACACACAAACCAATCATAAACCATACACATGCATAGATTATACATTAACGATTAATGTAAAATGAATCATTTAGACCGGTGCACAACATTCCGAGGTAGAAATGTTAGCGGATAAGTGGGGGTTGTTCGATGATGATGGAAGGTTTAGAAACGCAGTGAGAAACAACGAGAAAGATCGCGATGTTTCGTGAAATGGTAGGATGTTTTTCACGGTGTATTTGATCGAATTGTATCGAATTTCACGGTATATTTGTCGGGTATACTTGTTCGTGACGTTTTTAGCGAATATATATAAATATATATATATCGGGACGTTTTTGTATTACGCGAAAGTAAAGTGCTTTTCTTTTGAGGATTCGCATGAACTGCCATCTGGTGATCGAAAGAGGTATATTCATTCGAATAAGAAATACTAAAGATTGATCGAAATATGATTTTTATGCGTGAGATCGAAAAAGAATGGAAGATATTATTTTGAAAATCGAAATTATTAATATTGATCTTATAATTTATTACTCGAACATTTTCAACAACGAATTAAAAGACTGTAAATTATGTTCGATTGTTGAAATCATTTTAAATCAATATAAAAATTTCGTGAAAAATAACGTTAGATTTTAACGAATGTGATAGTAAATTTTCATATTGTGTCGATGCAAAGCTTTTGAAAATATGAAATTGGCGCGTTGGTAAACGAAATGAACATTTCCATGGTCGTAAAACAACGTTCGAATGAAAATTACAAATTGCTCATTTGGCGAATTGCCAACGAATATTAAAAGTGTAAATCGATCGAAATTATTCCATGAAAATTTTCAATGCTTAATCAGCATTGAAAATTCTGCAATAATCACGACTGACCCATTCTCGAATGCGAAACTCTTCCATCTCGAAAAATAGTTTATCGATACGATATTACCACGATCACCGATGCATCCAATGCATCTGCACATAAATTGCGAATCTATTTTAGCGTACAGTAAGGGCTTTTGCGGGTCTGATATATACGTACTGCCTTAAATTGCCAAATTTCTAGTGTTAGAAATACGCGCAAATCAGTGAAAACGAATGGTTACTATCGAACGGGCAACGAGCGTTCAGAAGATCGGAAATATACGATTTTTCGATATAAACGGAATAAGATCCAATTTTAAACAGGCAGCCCGTATTATTTTCATTGTATTTTAACTATATCCATCGGATTCGTTAAAAATATTCTCTTGTTTCTCGCCACTTAGCAGAGTACAAATATTTTTGGAGAGTAATTTTTCGCGATTCTCGCGGTTCGATTTGCAACGAAACATTCGATATAATAAGAAGGAGAGGATAACGATTAACAAAAAGAAAGATTTAGTATTCGTTGTTCATACGTAAAAATTTTAGAGATATGCGAGGTTTTGAAATTACGCGCTCGATACGGAAAAATTTCAGCGCAATCGGCGTAGATCTCGATACGACTGAACCTTGATTCGCTCCGAATCGATCCGAAATAATACGAAAGTAATCGAAATTTCGACCGATCATAGCCGAATTTTTCCGAAAATCTTGAAATTGAATACGCTCGGGTCCCGATCGGAAAAATTCGGGCGAATTCGATCGAAAAAGAAATATGGAGATATTTCGAAATCTCTTCATCGATCTTGTTCGAATTTTTTCGATCTGTCCCGAAGTTTCGATTTCTGAACCTCAGCATATATTACTAATAAGAAGTATCGATGTAATTCGTTACCATTTCTCTACAGAGATACACGTCCGTTAAATAAAAATTCCAAAAATACCGGGAATCGTCCGCGAAAAAATCCGTTTTCGTCCGAGCTAAACTATATGATATATAACAAATATGTGTGGCTAACTATTTTTTCTTCTTTGTTTGTGGGGTTTTTATTTTTTTTATTTTTTTTTTATTTTTTTTTTTTCTTTTTACCAATTTTCTCGTCCATCTCGAGAAAGGGATATCCGTTTTCCACACGCTACACGTTTTTAGAGCCAAAGAGAAGGATACACTTGCAGATACTTAAATCACGATTCGCGTGTTCCTCGCAAAACTGACACTCCCACACTTCTCAAAACAACTCGCGTTGAACACACAACGTTACACAATGATCATCGAACGATGATTAGGTTACACGAATAATCACGGGTTCTGAAAAAAAAAAAAAAAGACATAATAAGTAAAGATAAATAAACAAATACTAAAACGAAACCCGACAGCATCCGCACGAAACGGGAAAAAAGCACCTTTTTTTCTTAACCATTTATACTTTTAGATTGCGCCTAAAAATTAGTTTTCTTAGCTGGGTTAATTTTCAGCTAATCGCATATACGATTTTTTCTCTCCTCTTGTGTATGGTTTTTTAATACATTTTTGTTTTTTTTTTATCTTTGTTTTTTTTTTTTTAAATAATTGTTTCTCTCTGGGAAAATTGATTAACTTTTTTACCAAATCATCGGACTTAGTCCTGCTTGAACTAGCTCTTGGACCATACGTGTTTAGTGCGCATGATGTGTGTTATTATTATTACGGTTATTATTATTATTAATATTATTATTATCATTAATTTTATCATTGCTATTAGCGTTATTATTATTATGATTATTATTATTATTATTATTATTATTCTATTATTCACTGCGTACATAGCCGCTACGATTTACTATAATTACTTATTATTATTATCATTATCATCATCATTATTGTTATTATCATCATCGTCGCTACATGATATTATTAAATATTCTCATCAATTAGTTTTACCGTTCACACCAATCTTGTATACCATGTGTGTATTCGTCATTACCATTAGTATTATCGTCAACAATCGTCACGATTATCGTTTTAAAAGAAAAAAAAAAAAAAAACGATAAATTTTATTGTCGCCACGCGCATTCGCCGATTTGTATCTTTTTTTTTTTTTTTTTTCGTTCGAGTAAGAAGCAAAGAGACAAAGAAAGAAAGAAAGAAATAAAGAAAGAAAGAAAGAAAGAAAGAAAAAAGAGAACAGGATGGGGGAGGGGGGAGAAAAAGAAGAGAGATGCTCTCCATAGGAGGCAAACACACCAGGCATCGAGTCTCGAGGTGCACACAGAAGACTCTGTCGCGTCTGAAATACAAATGGCCCCTTACTGTCCACGGGTGTATCGATCGCGAGTCATCGTTCAACGAATGCGACAGGGTCTTTGAACCTCGATCTCTCTTAACGTTCTTGCTCACTTGCCTGGGTTCTTTTTAGATGTTAGATTTACGATCGCATGGCATGCGCTTGTATATCGTTTCAGATATATTATGTACATTTTTTTATTTCTTTTTTTTTCCTTTTTTAATTTTATCGATTATTCTTTTTGTTGTTTTTCCTTTTTTTTCTTTTTCTTTTTTCTTTTTTTTTTTTTTTTTTTTTTTTTTTTTTTTTTTTTTGAGGGGGGAGGATTCTGTTCTGTTGCGTTTAAGTTTGCGCCGTTCACCTCTGTTTTCGTTGGCGACACTCTCATTCCATCGAACATACCACGTACCTTTGTACTCGTATCGAGGGATTCCACGTGATCAGCGATTCTATGTAAACACATTTGCGTGTGCTTAGGTGTAAGATGAATTGTAAGAACGAGAATGGGAGAATGCTTGAGCAGCGACAGTGGTTTCTTTTTAATTGGATTGCAGCGACACGATTGGGGTGTAGGAAGAATTATCCATGGTAGTGCGATGAATCTCTGGTGAAATCGAGTTACGCACAATTATTTGATCGAATAAACGCACCGCTTTTTTATGAAATATTTATTTCTTTTCTTTTGATGATGATGAATGAAAACATTTATTATTATACAAAATGAATATATTTTTAGCGTTGCACATTTGCACATAATAGAAATTTCTCTAAAAATCTTTAACAATTTTTATTTTCAGTCAATATTTTTCAATAGAATTATTATTATTATTATACGATGTAAAGTTTATAAAGTCTCGATCATGATCATCAATGCACAAGTATCTTTCATCCACGATAAAAGAATATCCGAATAACCGCTATTCAAAGAATCTTTTTCAATTATGAAGAAAAAGCGTGTTTCACCCGAGTTTTGCACACAATGCGAGTTAAGTTCGCGCATTTCGGATCTCATTGAGAATGATAACAAGCACCTGCACAGGAATATCGTGCTTGCATCATCTATCACGTTTCTATGAATAAAAAAGAGATATTATTCATTACCAAACGGAATATCTCTCGCGGTTTCACGCGAATGAGTGATGTTACGCGATTAAAACTGTCGCGCGTCGAGCGTTCGCCCAGAGCTCGCGTTTTAGATTCATGTAAACGAATCGTGCGAGGTTATATATCACGTGTTGCATACGACTCGGTCGTTGAAGATAAAGGCGCTAGTGGATTGTGTGTATGCTTGATCGCGTTTTTCTCTCGCCTTTTTTTTTTTTTTTTTTCCTTTTTCTTTTCATTTCCCCTTTCATCGTGATCGATGAATAGCCGAGGCTGGCCTAAGAATCTCGAGTGCCGGAGGATGTAAGAACGAAGTGTGTGTACATTACGTGTATTATACGTGTGAATGGACGAAGAATCCCACGATTCCATCGATATGGAATCGAACGATGCAAGAAGAAACACTGTGGTTCCGTGGAGAAGCGGGAAATATTTTATTTTTCTTTTGTGGTCTCGAAATTTTTTTTTTTTTTCACGAATGTTTTTTTCGAACTCCTTAAGGAGGATAAATAATGGTGTCAATGTGAAGAAATTTTTAAATATATCAATGATTAAGTACAATGAATGCTTCTGAAATTATTTTCTATTTCGGTTCTTGTCGGGATGAAAAAATATCCATGTCAAATTACATCACACCGTTGATTTAGATCAATGTTAACAATGTTGACTGTTAACTGAAGACTTCTAACGATTTTAACACTCCATTGAGAGTAATTTAAAATTAATAATTTTAAAAAATTGCTCAATAAAATCCAATATATTGCGTAAAAATGTCTATCTTCTTTTGTGTACAGTCAACGTGTTACATTAAGCCATATATTCTCCAACCACAATATTCAGATCAAATTACTTTACAAAAAAAATTATCAACATATTGTCACATATTGTCACATATTGTCACTATCATTACATTTTCAACTTTCAATTTTAATTCACCCCAATCTATCATTCAAACACTCCTCTAAGGCATATCAACGATACATCTAAAAAAAAAAAAAAAAATACACAAAATATATTAAATACAAAATACAAATATATCGATTATTCTACAAAATAAATCATTTCAATTTCTTACAATCCACCCTCGCTCGATCACCTCAATCACCTCATCAATCATCAAATCACATCAACAATCACACCTAAAAAAAAGAAAACTTAACACCAACTTCCCGAATCTTTAAATAAAACTCACTCATTGACGTGAATGCAGAAAGCGCGCGCGTGCGACAGAGAGAGAGAAAGAAAGAGAGAGAGATGATTTCCAAAACTCAGAAACTCGAAGGAACAGTAGGTATAACGAGGCAGCGCGATCCCACTTTGACCAGTTCTCGAGGAACCTCTTCTTCCCCGGAACCACGGGATCCGCGATTCTGCGCGCGTTCCTCGAGTTTTCACCTCGACTTTGCCCATCTTCGCCAACTCTAGAACCCCTTAGAGATACACGTCATCCGCTTCCGGTACGCAAGAGGGTACACACAGTGCGCATCGTTTGAAATTAAGCAAAAACTTCGCTCTGAAGAGAGAGAGAGAAATAGAGAGATAGAGAGAGAGAAAGCGTTTTCATCTCTGGAGCTGCTTTTGAGCGAGAGGAATCGCGGGCGAAGAGAGAAGGTTGCTCGACGACGCGTGAAGCGTTTCGCGCGCCGACGAGGAGACAATAGGTCGGCGGAGAGGAAACGAGCGAGAAAATCGTTTCTGGCTCGCCGTGTTCTCGCGAAACCCCCTCCCTCCCTCCCTCTCTCCCTCCCTCTCCCCTTTTCCGAATCGATCCACGGCCCTTGTTGAATGAGTGCCAACCGAAAGGGTGAAAGAAGAGGGGGAGGAGGGGGAGGGAGGGGATGGTTCTCTTAATTTGTAGCACGGTCGAACGTCCACGGGGCTCCATTAGAATGGGATTCGATTCAACTGTGTCCTAATGTAATTTTGTCCAAGTTAAATCCCTTTCGAAGAGACGGGCGAAGAGGGTGGAGGAGGGAACCAGCCATCGAGATTACTTGGTCCGCGAGAGGATCCCTCTCCCTTTTTCACGTGTTCGCGGGACGTTTCACGGGAATTACAGGGGGAGGAGGAGGGG